TCGAAACATTGAAGACGAATTCAAATTTTACATTTATTAAAACAGTGTCTGGCAGGTCGACGAGAGTAAACTGCACGCAACTCACAGCCCACAGCAGTTAGCGGAAGATTTTGATTCTACCACCTGACCATTTTGTCATTGTTTTGATCCCATCTTTGAAATGTGTTTCATGGGGTTGTGATGTGTTGTGCCACTGTGGTGCTGAATTTACCTACTCTCACCATGACTATCAAATCGACGAATTCACTTGAACGTTAATAACAGCACTCGGCGTGCGAAACAACTCACTAAGCGTTATTCACCCAACTCTGCTTGTCACCTGACGACCACAACTCGAAATGACGCTTGAACAGGCATGTCATGAGTAGTGATCACAAGTGACTACCTTCAACGTGATCAACCCGAGACTGCGTGAACGATCCCCCCCCCACTGCGCACCATATACGATTGCTTTGATGAAATAATGCTCGACTGTGACGACACTGCATGAACTGGCAAATCTGTGTTATATGAAGCTGGTTGATTAATTAAAAGTAACGACTTTGTAAATAAAATAAAGGTACATGCTTTTGATTATGCAAATATTGACGAGGTGGAAGGTGCATCGGTAGCAGCATATTATTACAATATCTTCAGTGAAGTATGATGTCAGAACCGATCAAACCTCTTCGACTAGATGACGATGATTAGGTCCGTGATCGGACAGTGATTGTTGTCATCGGAAGCTGAATGCAGAAGAATGTGGCTCATGCCGAACACCAGCTGCAATTGTCGCAGATTTTCGCGTGGTGAGAAGCATCGAATGGAGTTATTCTCGACGTGTCTTTTTGAACGATGTGGGACCGGACAGTTGCCTCAGCAACAGCAGCAGCATCACTCTTTGACACGAGGATTCAACGATTGCGGCATAATGAGTTAAGGTTCGTGATCATTTAGTGGTGCTTGCCATCAGTTGTCACTATCAACTTTGAACACATCGGAAACGTGACAATGCACTGCCGCCACCACCGTCATCTCCTCATGATTCTCATTGGAGCTTTTCCCACTTCATTCCTCACAACTACAATGGCCAAATACCCGTGAGATTTCTGAGCATTAAATCTCCAATGGAATCGATATTAGACTTGAATTTGTTGTGTTGTGCAATTCCCTGTTTAGTTAAAATGCAGACAACTGGGACGACGTTCAAATCAATGTTGTGAAAAACTAAAAAAATGAGGCACTAGAACCCATTTTCCACCCACCCCTATATTGTAGTTTATCCGAAGGCGAGCAAATAACCTCTTCAGCGTCTACAATGTATTTTGCCAGTGGTAAGTGGATTTAATTATTTAGGCAGTCAGGTTCTGAATGCTTTCCTTTCAAATAAGATTCCACAACGTTTGGTGGCATATCTACGATGATCCATTGATTGTCAAGATGTCATACCAGAAATCAGCTAGTGCCTTTGTTAGGTTCATTGAAACTTCAATACGTTAGAAGGGGCCCGTTCTCAGCTTTGTCAGTCTACTCGGTGGAGTCAATCGTTCTGTGCGATAAATGTATGAATGACAAGCTCCTTCCTAGCTTTCCACTGACATGATGAGGCAATTGCACTTTATAAGAAATGAAAAGAGTTTGATCCGATTATCACCATGACTAGCATTTCGAATCAGATGACGAGAACGTCAACCAAAACTGACTCCTCACACACTTACAAGTAGTTTTTGAAACTGTTGCCGGTTTCAGTTGAGAGTATTGTCGTGATTCACGGTCACAGGCGTCTCTCTTTAACATGTCACCATGATACCGCGTAATTAGTCCCCTCACGGTTCTCTGTTGTTTGATTGGACAGATAACTACCATGAGTTCATGAATGTTGGCAAACGACTGTGGTTAAAAGTACTTCATTAGCAGGCTGTGTCATTGAATTATGAAGCAGCAAAGCCAGGGATATTACTGTGAT